GAGTATGAATCCAGAGTTTTTATTCTGTTAGAGGGAGCATCCAAGCAATGTAACAGAGCTGTATTTACAATACCTCTAAATCAAGTAAAGTACCAGCGACACCTGTTTGGTCCCTTCCACATTGTAGTCTTCTGGTCCTCTGACTGAGGAAAAACTGGGTTATATTTTATATTTTTGGGAGTTAGGGTTGACAGGCTGTATGCCATTTACTGAAAAAAGACAATATCTTTCAAGTCAACAATGAAGAATGACAATATAAAAATACTAACCGTGCCAAAAAGTCAAGTGATTGTTCTACATAGTCCAAAGCTTTCCCATCCAGATAGTTAGCAAGAACAGACTTTGCCATCATGAGATAACATTCTCCCAAACCTGTTTTATTTTTTTAAAAAAAGATTGTTAAGGTATAGTAATATTACAAGCAAACATACATTAAGCATAAGGTATCCAATGTGGGAAAATATTTGATATGGCTGTTAATTAAAATAAAATGTGGGGGTACATAGGAACAGAAATGTAATAATCAATAATTAAATGCATAAAATAAATTGAGGGGGAAATATTTTCAACTTTGAAGTACAGAATGAGAAAAAGGGAATTATTATTTTAGAGAGTAAGAATTAGATTTAAACATGTTGAAAGTGATTTTACGAGCAATTTACTCATTTCCCATGCTTAGGTGACTCAACAGTTCCTTGCATAATTAAGGCAACCAAATAGCTATTCCTGTAATTTTTGAAAAATCACATATTTTATTGTTTAGAAATTGCTAGAGAAAAGGATTGGAGGCAGTGAAATATGTTGAGTGGGAAACTATATTGAAATAACAGCTTAGTAATAAATATATTGCACATAAAATATATAATTACCTTTCAGTGCAGGGACATAATCTTTTGATTTCTCCAAAATATGCTGATATTCTGCAATAGCCTCTTTATATTTTCCAAGAATTTGCTCAATTGCAGCAGCCTTATAAATACTATATATAGACTTGGGGTTGAGTTCTCTTGCCTTTCGGAATGACTTCAGGGCTGTTGTGTAGCCTCCTCGACTCAGATAGGCCTCTCCTAGAGCTTCCCAACAATTGGGGTCCTTTGGATCTGCGCGCAGAGCTGCCTGCAAACTAGACACATTGAAAACCTAGTAATGAGTTCATAAACAATATTCTATTCAATTAAAAATGTTTTATTTACAATATTCCATACTGCGACTCTGTTAAGGCAAATAGAACACCAAATAAAAATTCCCACATCTGTAATGCTACATGATATTTATAAACTATTTATAAACCATTTGTTGAGACAACACCAAAACCAAAGTCCTATTGTGGTATTTATGCAAAATCTGATTATTTTGGCTAACCTGTATTTATAGAGCAGCTAACAGTTAATTTTAGAAATAAAAAAATCAGCATCATGATGATTTTGTTTGGGCTCATAGAGGAGCTCAATATAAATGTCTTTATATTATATTTATATTATAGTTATATTATATTATCTTTATATTATAAATGTCTCTATACATATGTTGTTCATAGTATGTTTAGGTATGTGTCATGTATGTGTTTCACTTTGAGAGCGGGCAACTAAATTTCATTTTTGATGTGTGCCACTGTGCCCACAGTATAAATATGACAATAAAGGTTATCTTATCTTATAATAATAATAATAATAATAATAATAATTTAATTTATATACCGCCCTTCTCCCGTAGGACTCAGGGCGGTGCACAGCATATTAAAACAGACAAACAAAATACATCAAAGAACAAAAAAAAAAAACCCCATAAAACCAAATTAAAAGCCAAATATTCGAAGCTGTGTGTCAATTAAAATTTTCTTAAAATCATCCCTACCTAAAATCCTCCCTAGGTCAGG